AGAATCAGACAGTTAATTGACAGAGCCACCTAGGTGCCCCATATAGCTTTATTTTTAATTTTTTGAGGAAGCTTTATATCGTTTTCTGTAGTGACTCCAACAGTTTACATTCCCACCAATAGTGCATGAGAGTTTTTCTTTCTTCACATCCTGCCAACACTTGTTGTTTCTTGTTTTGTTTTTTTGAGAATAGTCATTCTGACAGGTGTGTGGTAAATCTCTTTGTGATGCATTTCCCTGATGATGAATAATTTCGAGCATCTTTTCATGTGTCTGTTGCCCATCTGTATGTCTTCTTTGGAAAATTGTCTATTCAGATCTGCTGCCCATCTTTTAATTGAATTTGTGCTGTTGTTATTGAGTTATATAGATTCTTTTTATACTTTGGATATCAAACCCTTATCAGATATATAATTTATAAATATCTTTTCCCATTTAGTAGGTTGCTTTTTCATTTTGTTGGTTGTTTCCTTCTCTGTGAAGAAACATTTTTAGGTTGATGTAGTATCATTTGTTTATTTTTGCTTCTGTTTCCCTTGCCTTTGGAGTCAGATCCAAAAAAGGAAAAAACAAAACAAAACATTTCTAAGAGCACTGTTGAGGCACTTATCACTTATGTTTTTTCTAGTTTTATGGTTTCAGATCTCACATTCAAGTCTTTAGTCCATTTTGAGTTAATTTTTGCATTGTGTAGGAAAATGGTCCCGTTTCAATCTTCTGCATGTAGCTATTCAGTTTTCATACCATTTATTAAAGAGATCATTCTTTCCTCATTGTATATTCTTGTCTCCTTTGTGGTAATTTAACTGGCCATATATGTGTGAGTTTATATCTGGGCTATTTTGTTCTATTGACCTATATGTCTGTTGTTATGGCAATACCATACTGTTTTAATTATTATATGTTTGTAGTATGGTTTGAAATCAGGGAACATAACACCTCTGGCTTTGTTCTTTTTTTCTCAAAATTGTTTTATCTGTCCGGGGTCTTTTGTGGTTACATACAAATTTTAGAATTATTTGTTCTAGTTGTGTGAAAAATATCATCAGAATTTTAATAAGGGTTGCAGTGAATCTATAAATCGCTTTGGATAGTATGGACATTTTAACAATATTAGTTCTTCCAATCCAGGAGCATGGTCTATCTTTCCATTTATTTGTGTCATTTTCAATTTCTTTCACCAATGTCATAGTTTATACTGTACAGACAGTATGTAGAAGTCTCTCTCTCTCTCTCTTTTGATGTATTCAGCCATTCTTTTGATTGCAGAAGTTAGTCCATTTACATTTAAAATAATTATTGATAGATATGTATTATTACCATTTTGTTCATTATTTTCTGGCTGTGCTTGTAGTTCTTCTCTGTTCCTTTCTTCTCTTTCTCACTTCCCTTGTCATTTGATAATTTTCTTTAGTGTTAGTTTTAGAGTCCTTTCTCATTTTCTCTTGTGTATTTATTGTAAGATTTCACTTTGTTGTTACCATGAGATTTACATATATCACACTAAGTATGTAACAGTTTATTTTGTTGATAGCAACTTAAATTTGAACACATTCCCAAAGTCTATATTTTTACTGCCTCTCCCAACATTTTATGTTTTTGTTGTCGCTTTTAATATATTTTTATTTTACATATTTCTTAATCAGTTATTGTAGTTTTAGTTAATTTTACTCCTTCTGTCTTTTAATCTTCTTAGTAGTTTTATAAGTGATTAAGCTCCTACCTTTATCATATATTTGCCTTTTCCAGTGATATTTTTACTTCCATATATTTTCTTGTTGTTAATTAGTGCCATTTCTTTTCAATTTGAAGAAGACCCTTTAATACTTCTCACAAGGCCAGTTTAGTAGTGATGAAGTACTTTAGCTTTTGCTTATCTGAAAAACTCTTTATCTCTTCTTCAAAATTGAATGATAATCTTGCGAGGTAAAGTGTTCTTGGAAGTTTTTTCCCTTGAGCACTTTGAATAGTCGTGGTCTCCCTTCTAGCTTGCAAAGTTTTTACTGAGAAATATCCTGATAGCTTTATAGAGTTGCCCTTGTAAATAACAATTTCTTTTTCTCTTGCTACTTTTAAGATTCTCTCTTTATCTTTATCTTTTGGCATTTTAATTATAATGCGTCTTGGTGTGGCTCTCTTTGGGTTCATTTTATTTGGAAATTTTGGGACTCCTGAATCTGGATGTCTGTTTCCTTTCCTAGCTTAGGGAGGTTTTCAACCATTATTTCTTTACATAAGTTTTCTGCCCCTTTCTTTCTCTCTTCCCCTTCTGGGACCCCTATGTTGTGAATATCATTCTGTTTGATGTTGTCCCAGAGGTTCCTTAATTATACCCATTTTTAAAAATTCTATTTTTCTTTTTGCTGCTCCATCTGGGTGAGTTCCATTGCTTTCTCTTCCAGCTCCCTGACTCATTGTTCTACTTCATCCAGTTTTGTTTAATCCCTCTAGTGTATTTTTCACTTCAGTTCAATATTCTTTGTCTCTGTGAGTTTTGCTTGGTACTTTCCTGTTTTCTCTCATTGTTGAAGTTCTCACTCTGTTCATCCATTCTTCTCCAGAGTTCAGTGAGCATTTTTATGACTATTACTTTGAATTCTTTATCAGGTGGATTATTTATGTCTGTGCCATTAAGGTCTTTTACTGTGGTTTTTGTCTTGTTCTTTTGTTTGGAACACATTTCTCTATTTTTTTTTTTTTTTCTGCTTGACTCTCTGTGTTTGTCTCTATGTATTGGGTAAAACAGCTACCTCTCTCACTCTTGAAGGAGTGGCCTTGTGTAGGTGATGATCTTTCTCATTCAACCTTGCCCTAGCTCTTGATTGTCTCTAGAACCTTTGTGATTATCTAAATTCCCTGATCTATTTATTTTGTAAAAAGATTTTTATTTATTTATTTGACAGAGAGATAGCAAGAGAGGGAAAACAAGCAGGGGGAGTGGGAGAGGGAGAAGCAGGCCTCCCATGGAGCAGGGAGCCTGACACGGGGCTCGATCCCAGGACCCTGGGATCATGACCTGAGCCGAAGGCAGATGCTTAACGACTGAGCCACCCAGGCGCCCCCCTGATTTATTTTGATATGCCCCTATTGTTGAGGGTATGCCAAGACCTGTAAGCGATCCAAGGGAAATGATCTCATTTAGTACTTCTTTTCAGGCTGACTGGAAGTCAGACCGTCAGGCAGCAGCTTTTAAAGTATGTAAGTATATACAGTACTGTGGAGCTATAGTCATAATCTTCGCTGGCCTCAAGACCCGGATATCTGGAGGTGTGCCCTGGATAACAGTTGCAAAACATCAGGGCCCCAGACAAGTGTAGAACTCTGTTTTGGGAATTTATCAAGCTGTGGTGAGGCCAAGCAGGTGGGCAAGGATGGTGAAACCATGCTTATTTTCCCTGAGAGTGACTCCTTAGCTTCTATGTGTGGGAAACCTGAAGCTTATCCCTCAAGCTGGAGCTCCATGCTAAGCAAATAGGCCTTTTTTCACAGGAGGACCTGGGTTGTGTTTCAGTCTGCTGCCTGTGCAGTGCCCTGGTGATCGTGGCCTGACAAGAATAAACAGTACTTTAAAATGATGGCTATCATAACTAGATTTTTTTCTTAAGGTAATCAAATCAGTCAATTTCATATTAAAAGAAGTAGCCTTGGGGCACCTGGGTGGCTCAGTCGATTAAGCATCCGAATCTTGGTTTTGGCGCAGGTCATGATCTTGGGATTGTGGGATGGAGCCCCGCATCAGGCTCTATGCTCAGTGCAGAACCTGCTTGTCCTTGTCCCTCTCCCTCTGCTCCTCCCCAGCTCTCTCTCTTGCAAATAAATAAATAAATAAATAAATAAATAAATAAATAAATAAAATCTTTAAAAAAAAAGAAGTAGCCTTGTTGAGTTCACTAGAGATTTGATGACAGATCTTTCTCATTTAAGTTTCATTCTGTTTCTCCTGGTTGCTGCAACCTCTGAATTCAAAGCAACATTTTGCAGTTACAAAATATTTTGACTCTGAAGTTGTGCTAAAACTTGTATGAACTGATATCAAGGAATGTCAGGTAACTGACCTCTTACAAATGATACTTAAATACATCTGAGAAGAGTCTAAAGAAAAAAAAAAGGGAAAGGTTTTAATATAACTATCTTATAAATGCAAGTCATGTCTACTTTCCTTTTTCTGTAGACCAGTGGTTTTCAAATGAATTTTTATTGGCGGCAGCATTTTGCAATAAAATCTTACAAAAGCCCCCAATATATAAACAGATGGAAGTTGAACTATTTTGGGGAATAAGGAAGGAAGAACCCAGATAGGTTAGCTGCTCCCTCTCCCTACTTCTCACCATCATGGGGCTCTTAAGAATCATTGGTTGAATGATAGAGATCAGTTTCTTCAATAAGACAATGTGGTTACTAGATCCATCATCATGAGTCACATGATTCTCTGAAGTCCACTAAATTAACTCCACAGACATTGTATGGTCCTGAGTTTAAATATGTTGTTGAAAGTCACAAGCTATGGGACTAAGAAGCTATTAGTGGCAAGGCTGCTGAAGCAGAGAGCAGGGAAGGAGAAAGAGTCCTAGTGGCCTTTGATTCCTCAGCTGCTTCCCTCCTTCTCCATAGGCTGATTGTTCAAACTTTCCTTCAAATTCCTTTTTGCTGAAAGTGAGTTCATGCTGCATATTCTTTACTTGCAACCAGTAGTCCTGACAATACAAATACCATGAACGTGGCTATTTCTCTTTTAATTTCAACAACATTTGTAGAGGTTATTCCATGTGAAATAATGTGAAATTGAACATGATGGTCTCTGCCAGTAGAGACATGATGATTTAGTGAGAGAATGTGGAATGCAAAGCAATCATTTCAATGCAAGAACCATGGCTCACTATGCTTCTATATGATCAATGATTCTACACGTCATTCTGGAGAGAATGTCACTGAAACCAGGTAAACTTTCTGATGTCTGCTAAAATACTTTATTTTTTTATTTGCTTAATTTCATGGATAAGGGAGAACGTCTGATCGATCACTTGGTGAAGGAAAAATCAGCTGCTTGGAGAACTACAGAAATTGAGGATTATTCAGAGGATGCATCTTACCTGGAGGAACTGGAAGAACACAGATTTTCAGTTTGGTGAGTAATTTACCCTGTCTTTCTCTTTTCAAATTTAAATTCATTGAATTAAAAAAGTCTTTATTCGTCCTATTCTTTTATTATTCATTTATTCAACAAATATTGATTGCATGTCTATTATAGGCTATATGATAAGTACTGACTTGGGAAAGCTCATAGTCCAATGAAGTATATGGATGCTTAAAAACATCAATGTGATGTGATGGTGATATAGATTAAAAAACGCACAAAGTGCTACATAAACACATGGAGAAGTTGATGGCCAAGTTTCTTTGAGAATGGAGAAGTGTTCTCATAAAAAGTTTGAGCCAAATCTTAGGGAGAGGAATGCAGTTGAAAAGTGGTGACAGTTTGCTGTGGGCAGCATCTGGAGATGGAATGGGGAGGGTGGCTGGGGTGTAAATATGCTGTCAACCTTAGTTCTCTTAAGATTCAAGCAGATGATAGTTATTGCTCTCTTTACCTGGTGATGTATATATAGGTGTATCTGCAAGCATACAGGTAATAAATATTTAAAAATGCGTAAAAGAGTGAGCAATGGAGCCTCTTAGAGGTAATGATTATAGGATTTTGCAATGGTGGGATTTGTCAAGGGTGGGGGGAATGAACACCAGTAAGTGACAGTGTGACACATGGAGTAACCCAGGAAAGAAGAAGAGACCAAGGAGCTATATTCAAAGTCATCCGTTCCAAACCACTGGCTCCCTGCCTACCTCAAGATCCTTGCCCTGAATGGTTTCCCCAATGGGTAATTACCTACCCTGTGACTTAGTCCCAAAGATGTTCTCTTACTCTTCCATCCCAGAACCACCATTGGGAAAGCATAGTATCAGCTCAAATTTCATTTATCCAGTCACAGTTTTAATAAGTTCTACTGGTTTTTAGTTAAATTTCAAAGTTTAAATACTTTTCACCAATGCTTTCCTGAAAAAACTGAAGTGTGGTCTCCAGGCTAACTAGTGAGTCATGCTCTGAATCAAGAGATGCAAGACTGTGCTTCAGAAACATCATGCAGGAATGGGAGCCAAGGAGTCCAGAAGATGAGAAATATTCATACTTCTTCTAGAAAGAAAAATAATATACAAGAAATGCTCTAAGTCTAGACTAGGGATTAGCAAGTACAGGTCCCAGGCAAAATTCTGTTCTCCATCTATTTTTGTTAAAAAAACAAAAAAGGTATAGCTGGAACTGAGGCATAGCAGTTTGGTTACATATTGTCTTTGTTTTTCTGTACAATAACAGAATTGAGCAGTTGAAGCAAAAGCAGTATGACCCATAAAATCCAGAATATTTACTATCTAGCTCTTTACCAAAAAAATTTTTCACCCTTGCTCTACACTGACGTAGATATTTCTCTGTTGTTCACTCATGACATTCACATTATTTTTAAGATACTTTTATGCTTGGGGGGCACCTGGGTGGCTCAGTCCTTAGGCATCTGCCTTCAGCTCGGGTCGTGATCCCGGGGCCCTGGGATTGAGACCCACATTGGGCTCCCTGCTCAGCGGGGAGTCTGCTTCTCCCTCTCCCACTCCCCTGCTTGTGTTCCCTCTCTCACTGTGTCTCTCTCTGTCAAATAAATAAAATCTTTCAAAAAAAAAGATATTTTTATGCTTGGGGTGCCTGGGTGGCTCAGTTGGTTAAGCATCTGACTTTGGCTCCGGTCATGATCTCAGGGTCCTGGGATCGAGCCCCGCATTGGGCTCAGCAGGGAGTCTACTTGTCCCTCTCCCCCTCCCCTTGCTCATGCTCTCTTTCTCTCTCTCAAATGGACAAATAAAATCTTTTTATAAAAAAGGTATTTTTATGCTTATTTCCTTTATCAGGTTGGGGCTCCTTGTGTGTTTTGGTTATCTATTGCTGCATGATGAATCTCTGAAGGCTGAATGTCTTGAAATACCAACCATTTTATTTGTTCACAGTTCTGTGGGTTGAGAATTCAGGCAGAGACACATGATGAAAGGCTTGTCTCTGCTTCACCATGTCTGAGGCTTCAGCGAGGTGGCTCAAATGGCTGGGGTCTGGCTTGAATACTTCCGTTGGGACCATGTGTCTGGGATCTTGGTTCCTGCTCTCATCTGAGGTCCTCACTTTTCCACACGGGTCTCTCTCTGCTGATGTTTGGGCTGCTTCTCAGCATGGTGCCTGGGGTCCAAGTAGCATCTTTCCAAGCAGAGGAGGTGGAAACTGCAGATATCTCAAGGCCAAGTTATACTGTATTCTATTGGTCGAAACAAGTCACAGGGTCAGGCAGAGGAGGAATACATTCTACTTCCTGATGTGAGAGCAGAAAGGTGGCATTGCAAAACAGCATGTTGGGATGGAAGAAATCATGTGGCCATCTTTGGAAGCATAACCTACCGCATTTTGCTTTATTTCTGTGTGCACAGCTCCTAGCATAGGGGTCAGCAAATATTTGTTGAATAAAACAAACAGATTAATAGAAATGAAAGGGCGTAGGCGTTATGCGTAAACCTGAGGATGGATTCCAGTTTTGCCACTGCTTGTAACCTTAAACAATTTACTTACCCTCTCAGAAGCTATTTTATCCTGTATGAAACTGAGATAATAATACCTGTACTTGAATGCTGTTGTTCTTGTAGAAGTTGAAAGATCACGTATAAAAATCTAACATGTAGATTTTTTCATAAAGGCAACTAATATTATTAACATTAATAATAATAAAATTTAAGGCAAATGTCTTTTCCAGAGGTTAAAATCGAGGCCAAAGGTCACACTAGCATGATTTCTCATTTCTCACATTTGTCTTCCTCTCTGGTCTTCAAACACACTGGCTCTTTATCACATCAGGGACTTCACAGTTGATGCTTCCTATGTGTGGGATGTTCTCTCCATTCTTAATAGTATGGTTAGAGGCACAAACTGTAAGCCTCCCCAGAGAGGCTTTCCTGACTACCATCCCTCTTCTGATTATTTACTTTCTCATCACCTTGTGTTCTTCTTTAAAGTACTCATCCCAGTTTAAATTAATCTTTTATGGTTATTTCATTTATTTACTGACTTATGTTTTCTTCACTAAACAGAAGCTGTAGGGAGGAAGGAACCCCTCTTATCTGGTCACTCCTGGGTCTCCAGGCCTTGTTTCTAGAATACCTGGCTTATAATAGGCAATCAGTAAATATTTACTGAATGAGTGAAGAAAAGGATAACTGAATGATCTGTCAGCTTCTCCCTCTCTCCCAACTCCCTTGGTTGTCATACCTATTTATTTACTTTCAATCTCTCCCTTCTTTGAAATTGCCACCATTAAAAAAAAGAAGTAATATGGGATAATTAACCACTATAAATATTTCTTTTTAAAGCAGGATTGAGGCTATGGGGGCTACTGAGACTTCTATAAACTTGTGTTTTAACTGGTCTGAGATACAATCTGAACAATTTCCTTGATGTTTTATTAGAGCTGGTAAATCATTTATTGGGGCAGCCTTTACCTAAATTCTCTCCAAATCCCCATAAAATGCATTTAACACAGAATACTGTACGACCCAGCTTCAAAGATATATGTGACATTGTATGAGAAGTATTTGCTTCAGTGCAGCAAGTTTGAATGTATGCATTTTCTTTCTCTCTTTCTTATATGGTGTATCTCACTCCACTTCTCTCCTTCCCCTGTGCCTCATTGTAACATGCTGATTTGGGTAAATCTTGTAGATTGTTAAGGCTTCAGTCAATCACAGCTTCCAATTAAAAAAAAATGTATAGGACCTTTAGCTAGTCAAATGCAAGTTTATCTTGTTTGTAGCTGTCAATTAAAAAAAAAAAGCTTCCAAAATATAAAACTGTTACATTTTCTCAGCCAGATATATGCTGGGGTGATGGGAAGACTGTCTTCTGCTTTTATTTTGAGATAACATGATATATCCAAGGTATCCCTCCATACTTTTGTAGTATAAGATTTATTTCCAGCATCACTCATTTGGGTGTGCAGTGGTTGGCTCTGTTATATACTCCCCTAACACCCTGCACATTTTCTTTGTGCTCCTTGGCACACCGTGAGGAGGTATTCGATAGTCCCTTTTTCTCATTAGACTGGGAGTTTAATAAATTTCACAGGGGTAAAGATTAAGTCTCTCATGTTCTTTCTGGTCTGGCCACGATGATTGATAAATTGCAAGCACTTAATAAATATTTGTTGAATTAAAACATGAAAAATAAGAGGAAAATAAGAATATTGGCATTTCCAAGGCTCCAGAGTGGCTCAGTTGGTTAAGCGTCTGACTCTTGGTTTTGGCTCAGGTCATGATCTCAGGGTCATGAGATGGAGCTGAATGTCTGGCTCCACGCTGAGCAGGGGGTCTGCTTGAGATTCTCTCCTTCTCCCTTTGCCCCTACCCCTAACTCCCGCTTGAGTGTGTGAGCTCACGAGTGTGCACTCTCTCTCTCTCTTAAAATAAATAAATCTTAAAAAAAAAGAAAGAAAGAAGTGATGTTAGAAATTACAAGTACAGTTGAGACTGTGTTGGGATACAATTATATGCATCCATGAGAACATGCATTTCTGTTCAGTTCAAAAAATATATTGTCCACTGGGAGCTTTATTTTTCATTTCTTTCATTTCATTTCATTTCATTTCATTTCATTTCATTTCATTTCATTTCATTTCATTTCAAGATAGCGTGAATGGAAAGGAGAGGCAAAAGGAGAGGGAGAGAAAGAATCTTGAGCAGGCTCCATGCCCAGTGTGGAGCCCAAGGCGGGGTTCGATCTCAGGACCCAGAGATCATGACTTGAGCCGACATCAAGAATCTTAAAAGAGTCAGGTGCTTAACTGACTGAGCCACCTAGGTACCCCTGGGAGCTTTTTTAAAATTTATTTTCCTATGAGGGAAAGATTTCAGTGAGAAAGTCTACAATGTCCATTCTGTTAATTACATAAAAAAACACTTATTTGCCCGTGTAAACAGAGCTGTAGAATCGCATTGCTTATGGAGTGAATCGGATTCCCTGGGTCCTAATGCAGTGCATTATTCCTGGCACAG